CTCGTCCCTCGTCCCTCGTCCCTCGTCCCTCGTCCCTCCTCCTCCTCCTCCTCCTCCTCCTCCTCCTCCTCCTCCTAAGCCTCGGCGTTCGAGGACAGGCGGAGGGGGGCGCCGTGTCGGAGGCACGGCCGGGCCGTCCCCGCACGACTCGGCGGCGCGCGGGCCCTCTGGGGACACAGCCCTCGATCGTGCATCGGACCGCGGCGAGGACAGGGCGCCCTGAAAACCATCCGTGGCCCGCAGCCATCCCTCTCCCTCCTGACCTCACCAGCCTCGAACTTGTCCCTACCCCTAAGATTGACACGCCCGAAGGCGGTGGTGCGCCCTGAAAAACGGAGGGAACCCCCAAGATTGGCCTCGTGACGAGGCGATGACCAGCTTAGGGGTAGGGATGTGTTCCAGGCTGGTAATGAGCAGCGAGACCGACCCATCCGCGGCTCGCAGCCATCCCTCTCCCTCCTGAGCAGCGAGACTCGGAAGCTGGTCGAGGACTGCTAAAACCGTGGCTGCTAAAACGGCCCTCCAGGAAGGAAAAAACAGCTTCCCGGAGTGAGGCGCGGCACGCGAGACAGTCCACGGGCCCTTCCCGGAAGGACTCAGCTTCCCGAGAATGTCGATTTTAGCAGCCACGGATTTAGCAGTCCTCGCCCGGCTTCCGAGAGACCGACCCACTGTCCCAGATTCCCCCCCCCCCCTCATCGGCCATGGGCGAGGGCTGCGAATCCGTGGCTGCTAAGATCGACCTCCGGGAAGTTGTCTTCGTCCTTTTGGGAAGAAGCCCGTTGACTGTCCGCGCCTCATTCCGGGAAGTCGTCTCTTTTCCTTCCGGGAGGGCCGTTTTAGCAGCCACGGTCTTAGCAGCCCTCGCCCAGCTTCCGACCCAGACTCCCCCCCCCCTCATCGGCCAGGGGTGCCGCTTCGACGGGGGCGGGCAGGATATGGGGTGGCACTGGGCCCCTGCTGTGGCCCGGGCGTCGGCACAGCGGTTCCCCCGCGAGCTGCCGTGCTGTGATGGCGCCCGCGGTCTGCGTCGCCCACGGATGCGTGGCCCTTCGCTTTGGTGATCGCGATGGCTTCGGTCCCCACGTCGTAGGCCCTGGTCCAGAGGAGCCTCCACGCCTCACGGCAGGGGCGGTTCCAGGCCGTGCGCCAGTCCTCGCCCGCCCCCCAGCCGTCGAGCAGGAGCCGGGAGTCGCCGAAGAAGCGGATGGGCGGCGGGGCGTGGGCCAGCGCCTCCGCCGCCGCGAGCAGCTCGCCCGTCCCAGCCTCCCGGGGCCAGGGCCAGGGTAATTACAGGGCCGAAGATGCTGGATACCTCTGCGTCAGCATCATCATCATCATGCACAGGGTACAGTTGAGGGTACAGGGTGCTGGATGCCTCTGCGCCCATGGCGTCAGTGGAGCAGGCCGCCCAGCCAGCGCGCGCGAGGGTGTGGTCCTTGCCGCGGAACGCCGACCCGTCCGGGAAGGCCACTCCTTCAAGCGGCTTCCCTGCCATGGGTCTTGCCGTGCGGACCAAGCGGGCTGAAAGGGGCAGGGGATGACGATGATGATGATGATGATGATGATGATGATGATGATGATGATGATGATGATGGTGATGATGATGATGATGTTGATGATGATGATCCTGATGATGGTGAGGATGATGATGATGATGATGATGATGATGATGATGATGTTCATGCTGACGATGCTGATGATGCTGATGATGATGAGGATTATGATGCTGCTGATTATGATGATACTGCTGATGATGATGGTGACGAGGATGTGGATGATGATGATGATGATGATGATGATGATGATGATGATGATGATGATGATGATGATGATGATGATGATCATGATGATCATGATGATTATGATGATGATGATGATGATGATGATGATGATGATGATGATGATGATGATGCTGATGATGATGATGATGATGATGCTGATGATGAAGGTGATGGTGATGATGATGACGATGATGATGATGATGATGATGATGATGATGATGATGATGATGATGCTGATGATGCTGATGATGCTGATGCTGCTGATGATGACTCTGATGCTGACGATGATACTGCTGATGGTGACGATGGCGATGATGCTGATGATGATGCTGGTGATGAGTCCGATTATGATGCTGATGATGATGATGATGATGATGCTGATGATGCTGATGATGATTATGCTGCTGCTGCTGATGATGATGATTCTGATGTTGCTGATTATGCTGCTGATGATGATGCTGATGATGTTGTTGATGATGATGATGATGATGATGATGATGATGATGATGATGTTCATGCTGACGATGCTGATGATGCTGATGATGATGATGAGGATTATGATGATGATGATGATGATGATGATGAGGAGGAGGAGGAGGAGGAGGAGGAGGAGGAGGAGTGAGGAGGTGGAGGGATGATGATGTGATGAGGTATGATGCTGATGATGCTGATGAGGAGGAGGAGGTGAAGGAGGAGGAGGAGGAGGAGGAGCTTGTGAGAGAGGAGGAGGAGGAGGCGAGGAGGAGGAGGAGGAGGTAAGGGGAGGAGGAGGAGGAGAGGAGGATCGAGGATCGAGTTTTTTTTGATGGGGGCCTCGAGATGCCTCTGGACACCTGTGGAGACCTTCAGAGACTTCTGGGGGCGAGGGAGGAGGAGGGAGGAAGGATAGGAGAGGAGAGGAGGAGGGAGGAGGGAGGAGGAGGGAGGAGAAGGGAGGAGGGAGGAGGAGGGAGGAGGAGGGAGGAGGAGGGAGGAGGAGGAGATGAGTGAGGGTGGGGTGAGGTCTGGAGGGAGAGAGGGAGGGATAGAGAGATAGAGAGAAAGAGAGAGAGAGAGAGAGAGGGAGAGAGAGAAAGAGAATCGGAGAGGAGAGGAGGGAGGTGAGGTCGGGTCTGGAGGGAGGGAGAGATTGAGAGAGAGGAGAGGGGGGCCAGGAGCGATGATGGCCGTGTCGTTCTTCTTCCTGATGTGTGCTCAGACCGTCTTCGTGCGCATCATGGGCTCCGCTCGCCAGCCCTCGGAGACTGTCGTAGGAATCGTGCAGCAGACGGGGCGAGTCTGTGCCCTCAGGGCTGCCCTTCTTGATTCTGCCAATCTGTCAGCCGGAGGAGGATTAGCACTGCCATGGCAAGGATGCACAGTCAGCGCGCATAGTATGGATGGGCAACCTTCCCAAGGGTACCCTTGCATCCTTGCCCCTTCGGCCCATCCTCAGCGACTTTGGCTGGCCAACCTTTTCGCTGGGCCTCCAAGGCCCTTGCTTCCTTATCGCGCATCCTCCTGATACGGGCCGACTGTAGTTTCGTTATCAAGTTTGCTTTTGCATCCTTGCCTCTTCGACCCGTCCTTGGCCACGTGCCCTGGAGTTGTTGGCCTTGTGCTGGTGCGTTTTTGCTGGGGGGGGATGTCTGATGCTGGCCTGGCGACGCTGCAATCGTTTCCGCGTGGTCGTCGAAGGCTCTTGCATCCCTACCCTGCATCCTTCTTGGGAAGGCCTCACGGCCGGTGCCGCCGACCCTGAAGGGGGACGACGACGACGCTGACGCTCTGGAGCCTTTCCTGAGGCTTCCTCCTCCTCGTCCTCCTCCTCCTCCTCCTCCTCCTCCTCCTCCTCCTCTTTGGAGCCTATTGGGCTATGTTGGGGGGCCTCTTGGGGGACTTCTTGGGAACCGCCGTGGCCACTTGGAGCCGCCTCGGAGCGGATCTGAGGCCTCCTGGAGGCACGCGGGGGAACACGCAGCACCCCGCAGCGGCAGGTAAGAGCGAGGAGGGTGCCTTCGAGGGTGGGGGGGTCTGGCAGGAGGGGGTGGTGGTGGTGGTGGTGGTGGTGGACCCCTTGTCTACAGGGGGGGGCTCTTGAAGCCCCCTGTCCACAAGGGGACCACCCCCTTGTCCCCCTTGTTCACGGGGGGCACGGCTCCCGGGACCCCCCCGCCGGGACCCCTTCCTCTACGCCCCCTTGCTGCCATGCCGGGACCCCTCCCGGGGACCCGAGCCGCTACCCTCCCTCCCGGCAGCCAGGGAAGGCATCCAGGGGAGGGGGCTTCCCCTCGAATCAATCACGACGTCGTTTGATTCCCGTCTGGCTGGATCGCTTCAGGAGGAGGGCCTTGGGAAAGGGGGGGAGCGGCGACGGCGACGACGGCGACTGAAAAGAAAAACGCTTCACACCCGCCGTCAGTGCCGGCGGATTCTGCGGGCTCGAACTGCAGGAAGAGGATGATGAAGAGGAGGTGAGGACGGAGAGGACAAGGAAGAGCATGATGAGCATGAAGCATGGGAATGCTCCCTCCTGCTGCCCTGCATGGGCGAAGTTGAACACCTGCGTGTCAGCGTACTCTGACCAGTACGGTGTCTGGAGACAGTGGCAGTATTGAAGCGCATTCGCGAACGCAATAGACGAATCCTCCAGACAAAATGAGCAGCGCAAGAAACATCTGGACATCTGGACATTGGGGCGTAAGCTGCCCGCGTAAGGTCGCGCGTCAGCGCCACGCCCTTCGTTTCCACTGTGGCGTGCCGCGCCAGCGGCCCGCGTAAGCCGCGGCGTGCGGTCGCTTTGCCATCGCGCGTAGGACCCGCTTCCGCTTGTCGCTCAAGTCCAAGCCGGGGAGGGGGGCTCAGCGCAGATCCAAGAGATCCGCGCGGACCGTCGAACGTTTATGCTCATGGCATTTTTTTTTTTTTTTTTTTTTTTTTGTTTTTTTTGTTTAAAAAAAAAAAATGTTTTTTTGTTTCTTCCGTCGATTGCAGGATTCTGCAAAGCCCGACTGACCCAGGTTGCCACGGATCCGGGTCAGTAGCTCCCCGCCCACCAAACCAGCCCATCCCAACCCGAAGGCCCCGAGTTGCCCTCCATTGCATTTCCATTGGGGGGGGGGGGGGTCGGGGGCAACATTAAAAGAACACATCTGAAGCCCGTGACCCCCCAGCCCGAAATTCGGGCGAAACTTGGGTCTTCGGGTTGGGTTGGGGTGGTCTGGTAGGCAGCGGCTCCCCGAGCCTCGACTGGCCCCCCGAGCGGCGCTCGAACCCCGAGGAGCCCGCGTGCTGTGGCGACAGCGCGCCCGTCGCGACGCGAGACCCCCCGCGGCGTCTCCCCGCGACTCCACGGAGGCGGCTTCCGCGGCGGGTGCTGCGCATCGGCCCCGGCGGGCCCGGCCACGCCGAGCGCTGGCGGCGGGCGGCGGGCGGCGGGATCGGGATCGGGAGCCAGAAGAAGGCCACCAAGGTCGGGAAGCGCGAGATCTTCGGCAAATCGTCACGGAGAGGGCGAAGAGCCAAGGCAATCGTGAAGGCCCTCCCCGCGAAAGCCCCCAAGGACGAGTGCTGATGGCCCCCGAGGGGGAGCCTCTGGGATCACGGGGGTCAATGCAAACGGGGGTCAGCCAGAGCGCCGTCGGATCTTGCAGGATCCTGCAGAGCCAGGGCTGCACTGACCCGGAGTTGAGGGCGCAGGATTCTGCTGGATCCTGCAGGGTCCTGCAGGATCTTGCAAAGCCTGGCCGACCTGGGTCTGGATTGACCCCGGTCAGTGCGCCCCCGACGGGAGCCCGCGCTCGGTGGGCCCGCCTATGGAGGCCCCCGATCCTATCAGCAGAGTCACAGCCCATTGACGCGTTGACGATGCGGGCGGTGACCGCGATCGCTTCCTCCGCGTAGGGGGCGCCACTGTGGGTGCCTCTGCTGAGCCCCGTGGCTTGGAGTCACCCCCAGGCTGCTGGGCACATGTTCCACCACTACGAAACGCAGGACGGGGGAAAATGGAGGATGAGGAGGTCCTCCTCCTCCTCCTCCTCCTCCTCCTTTCCTCCCTCTCCTCCTCCTCCTCCTCCTCCTCCTCTTCCTCCTCCTCCTCCTCCTCCTGAGTGCTCAGCTGGACAGGGAGGCTGCAGCCCCTCGTGCTTCGGGGCTGCTGACCGCCGGGCTCCTCCCTGTGCGACTCGGGCGGGCCCAGGCCGCCCCCCCCCTCAGTCGAGGAAGCGCAAACGTGTATCGAGGCGCGTGGGTAGGCACTGGGTCCCGCCTCCCTGCAGAGTCGGCGCGATGCGTCGCCAGGGTGGGCCGCACTGGCCTCATGTCTCGGGGTCTGCCTTCCCGATCCCGGATCTGGCGCCCGCGCGCCAGATCCACGGATCCGTAATCCGCGCCAGATCCCGCCCCCCCTCAGGCGAGTTCGTCTCCAGGAGAGCTCGCACACGGTGCCTGGTGCTGGTGCGTTTTTTTTGTTGGGGTGGCGGGCGAGTGGAGAGGAGGCGAAACTGACACGGGGACGGAACAGCGAAACCCGGGGGCGGGGAACCCCGAGTGCCAACAGCTCACGCCGAGCAGGCCCTCGCTGTCCGAGGCATCCTTTGGCGTCCGCTCGCTTCCATCCTGGTGGACCATCCTCTGCTCCCTGTGCGCATCTTCCCTCGACTTCCTGAGGGTCCAGCTCCCCGTCCCCTGCATCCTCTGGCATTCCCTTCTGAAGACTCGGTGCTGCCGCGAGCTTGCCCACCTGCCTTGCTCCGTTCTGTCGTCGGCCGCTTTGTCTGGCCTCTCTCTCTCTCTCTCTTGTTTCCGCGCTTGCACGCGTGGGTGCATACGTCTCATGCGATCGTACCCACCACAGGTTTCATCTTCTTTGTCGGGGTGATGCTCGACGTCGTCGTGGCTGGGGAGGGGGCACTGCTGGGCTTGCACCATTTTTCAGCACTGCGCGACCCAGCAGAAGAAAGGGAAGGCATCGTTGGCGCCAGGAAGGCCTGTGTATAGTGTATGCGTGTGTGTGTGTGTGTGTGTGTGTGTGTGTGTGTGTGTGTGTGCGTGTTGCTCGTGGCCACTTGTGAGATCGAACGGCCGGCGGACCTGCCCGCTGGCGCAGACAATGGCCACGCGTGCTCGCCGAGTGGCTTGCCCTCCTCCGGTGCCCGGCCCGAGGAGCGTGTGCACCAGCCCGAGCACTCGGACGGGGCCAGGACGAGTATAGATCCGTCCCAGAGCGTTCCGCAGCGCTCTCAGAAGGTTCCAGAACGCTTCGAGAAGGCCGCGGCGCCCGAGACATGCTCCAGAGCAGCCGGATCTCACACATTCTCGGTTTATCCTCACCCGGATTCATCCTCGTTCTGGCTTCGTCTGAAGCATGCATAGACCTCGCAGCCCACCTCCTCCTCCTCCTCCTCCTCCTCCTCCTCCCTCCTCCCTCCTCTCTCCTCCTCTCCTCCTTCCTCCTCCCTCTCCTCCCCTCCTCCCCCTCCCTCTCCCTCCTCCTCCTCCTCTCCTCCTTCCTCCTCCTCCCTCCTCTACTCCTCTCCTCTTCCTCCTCCCTCCTCGTCCCCTCTGCCTCCTGACCCTGCCTCCTCCCTCCTCCTCCCTCCTCCCTCCTCCCTCCTCCCTCCTCCCTCCCTCCCTCCCTCCCTCCCTCCCTCCCCTCCCTCCCTCCTCCCTCTCCTCCTCCCTCATCCTCCTCCCTCCTCCTCCTCCCTTCCTCTATCTCCTCCCTCCTCCCTCCTCCTCCTCCTCCTCCTCCTCTCCTCTTCCTCCTCCTCCTCCTCCTCCTCCTCCTCCTCCTCCTCGACGGAGCAAAGCACTTCAACCTGGGCGTCCAGGGGGCTTGCATCCTTACCGCGCATCCTTATGATGCGCTCGATTCCCGACCCGCGACTACAGAGCTCTCGGGCTGTCGCCTGCCCGACAGCGGTTGGCGTCTGTCCCAGGCGGTGCTCGCAGCGCTGCGGCCTGGCAGGTCTGCGGGGGCGGGGCCGCCCCGCCCTGGCCCCGGCCGCGGAGGCGGGGTCGCCCCAACATGCTGATGCTATGTGTGCGTCGCCCCCCCCAGGGGCGACGCGAGCGCCCGTCTTCCTGAGCCTCGCGGACGGCCCCCCCGCTGCCCCAACATGCTGCCCCATTCGGCGTCACCCCAACATACTTCTACTATATGTGCGTTGCCCTCCCATGGGCGATGTGCACACCGAGAAATCTTGTAGCATGTGCGTCGTGGCGGGCGCTTTCTGGCCACACCGCTCGGGAAACGATACACTACAAGATGGGCATACTAAGTGTTCGGGTCGGGCGCGCGCCTCCAAGGAGGACATCTAGTACCAGTGTGTCTCTGTGCGTCCCAGGGCAGGCAGTGGCCGAGGAGGCGGGACGGAGGCACGGGAGGGGGCGGCGCCGCTCGTGTCGGGGGCCTTGCGACGGGGGTCAGTACAACCGGGGGTCAGTCAGAGCGCCGGATCTTGCAGGATCCCGCAGGGTTCCAGGTTGCACTGGCCCGGGCTAGCGCGCAGGATCCTGCAGGATCGTGCAGGATCCTGCAGGGTCCTGCAAGGCCTGACTGACCCGGGTCTGGACTGACCCGGGTCGGCAGATCCCCGAGGGTGCGAGCGGGTGAATGGGGGAGGAGGAGGAGGAGGAGGAGGAGGAGGAGGAGGAGGAGGAGGAGGAGGAGGAGGAGGAGGAGGAGGAGGAGAGGAGGAGGAGGAGGAGGAGGAGCAAGAAGCAGAGGAGGAGGAGGAGGAGGAGGAGGAGGAGGAGGAGGAGGAGGAGGAGGACAGATCCCCCCCGATCGTGCACGGCAGGAGCTGGCCTCGCGGAGCAGTGGCGGAGGAGCACGGGGTCGCCTGCGCAGGCACTCGCGCGCGAGCCTTGCCCGCGCAGGGTCGCGCGTGCGCGCCCTCCTCTCCGCAGCCGCTGTGCCAGGCTGGCGGCCCGCGTAAGCCGTGGCGTAAGTCGAAGAAGGAAAGCCACATAAACATAAATTTTTGGCGCTCCGCGCGGATTTCTTGGATCCACGCTGGGCCCCCGCCGGCGGCGCCTCCGGCGCCGCCCCTGGCGCGCTCCGCGCGCCAGGGAGAGTGGTCCAGCGCAGATCCAAGAAATCCGCGCGGACCTCCAACAGTTTATGTTTTTGGCGTTTTTTCTTCCTCGAATCGTGCGTAGAACCTCATTCTCTTCGTCGCTCAGATTACAGTCGAGACTGATTAGTAGGTCGACCCTGCCAAATCATGGGTGCCCTTGTGTCCTGAGCTTCGCGATCCATGCCTGCTTACATTCCTATGGCAATGTGGCCTTCGGAAGGGTCTTGTGTCCTCTCGCGTGTCCTGTCCAATCAACCCCGACTGTATGTCACCTGGACCTTGGACACGCTGGCATCATCCCCAAAGCAGCGTCTGCACCTTGCGGGCTGCTGCCTCGTCCTCCTGCGCTCCTTCGGGCACGGCCTTCCCCCCCCCAAAGGCAGGGCCTCCAGGAGCGTGGCAGTCCAGCTGGCGGCGTGCTGGCGGAAGGTGTGCTGGTTGCTCCCGTCACTCTCCCACACAGTGGAGGCCCATGCCGAGAGACGCCCTGCTTGCCTCCAGGGGTGTCCTGGGTTTCTTGGGCCTCGATGGTTTTTACCTAACAGCTTTTGCTGATAGGTTTCTAGTGGACTCAAAAGAGAGCAGCAGATGACTCCTCAGGGGGGTCGGGGCGGGACCCGGGGCGGCTGCCGCCGAAACCCAAATCGCTTGGGACATCCTCGCAAAATCGCTCTTGGTGCTCCCAGAACTCCATTCCCGGGCCACATTTTGGATGCCCGGAGCCAACTGTAGGCCACCGTGCTCTTCGACTTCCCAGAACTCCATTCCCGGGCCACATTTTGGATGCCCGGAGCCAACTGTAGGCCACTTCGTTCTCTTCGATTTCCCAGAACTCCATTCCCGGGCCACATTTTGGATGCCCGGAGCCAACTGTAGGCCACTTCGTGCTCTTCAAGTTCCCAGAACTCCATTCCTGGGCATGATTTTGAATGCCCGGGGCCAACTGTAGGCCACTTCGTGTTCTTCTAGTTCCCAGAACTCCATTCCTGGGCCACATTTTGAATGCTGGGGCAGGCTGATGCTGCGGCCGAGGCAGGCTGAGGCTGAGGCAGGCTGAGGCTGAGGCCGAGGCTGAAGGCAGACTGAGGCTGAGGCTGAAGCAGGATGAGGCTGAGGCAGATGCAGGCTGAGGCTGAGGCAGGCTGATGCTGAGGCAGGCTGAGGCTGAGGCTGAGGCTGATGCAGGCTGAGGCTGAGGCAGGCTGAGGCTGAGGCCGAGGCTGAAGGCAGACTGATGCTGAGGCTGAAGCAGGCTGAGGCTGAGGCTGAGGCAGGTGAGGCTGAGGC